AAAAAAAAAAAAAAAAAACTATGTATTTTAGAAACAAATGCATATAACTCCCTCGTGTTAATACATGATACACACATGCCACCATCATTAAGTGAAAGTGGGCTATTTGTGCAAACCTCAAGGAGGTAGTCGTGGTAACAAAGATATTTGAGTTATTTTTTTTTTTTTTTTTGGGTAATTAAACTAATCAAATGGTGGTTTTTATATCTAACCTAGTAACCTTATTACCAAGGCTGTGACAGCTAGTGTTGGCTTGTCATCATGCTTTCGATCTATATACCTCACCTCTAAGATTACTAGATTAGTCAAGTTTAATAAAATTGACACCTTTGAGTACTAGTACTGTGACTTATTAATTCCTTTCGTAATATTTGCCACTGCATTTCAATCAATAGCTTCCTAGTTAGGCACTAATTGCTTCATTCCTTTTTGTACGTCTTGTGTTATGATAGTTATTTCCGAAATAATAGTCTTTCTTGATGATGTTATGTCAGTAATTTACTTGATTGTGTCTATTGGGTTTTCTGTGGGATGCATGGGGTCCTTTTGGCAGCTCTATCTTTATATTCGATGTGCAAGCTCTTCCTCATACTTAGTAGAATTGAAGCTTTTAGTTTTTACTCATGTATTTATTGTTCAAACATCCTGTAGTTGCTTTGACTTTTGCAATATATCTTTTCATACTTATTTGATTGTTCTAGTTTAAAACTATGTCAACTTCCAATATGAAACTACCCACTTTAGTAACATCGATTTATGCACGATTTAAAATATTTATTATGTTAAGTGTACAGCAAGGACACATCTTTGTGAGTTTCACGTACTGCATTCATACTGCGTACGCATTTTGCATGCTTGAGAAACAGTCAATTTTCTCTTAAACAATTTTAAAAGCTCGAGGCATTAGGATGAAGAGATTATGTTTCATTTAAACCCCATGATATGATCTAACCCCAAGCAATTAAAATCTCAACTAAATGTGATATTCTGATTTAATCAAGCTATTATATGGTTTTGTGTAAAGCCAGTTGTGATATGTTGATTGAATTTTTATTCGGTTAGGTTGAGATTGTGATGGGACTCGAAGAGGAGTTTGGGATCTCTGTGGAGGAAGAAAGTGCCCAAAGCATCACCACCGTTCAAGATGCTGCGGATCTCATCGAGAAGCTGTTGGAGAAGTGTTAGAACATGACCGTTCAAGATGCGGCTGATACAAGCAGGAAATTCTTGAAGAAGTGTTTAACAGTGATGTAAAAGAACAGCAAATAAATTAGCGTCCATAAGCAATGTTTCTGTAGTGACTTATCATCGGTGTGTTTTGGGTTGACTGGAGTACTTTTTCTACAAGTTTAACTTATTTAAGTTATTCGTTTTGTTTTTTCTCGTTTGATATTATGCGAAGCTGGTTCATTTTGTTCCTTTCTGTTTTTATGTTTGAATATGACCCATGAATGATTATCTGGAGTTGAACTTGAACTGTTGAAGTTTGTTTTGTTTCTTTTTGTTTTCTTTCAAAGGATAGACTGCAATAAATGATTTTCCTTTTTTTTTTGTTCAAAGGAAATACTTCAATAAAAAAAACAACTTAAACTAAAACACTAAAATACAATAGCTCCCATCAGGAGAATACGATAATTCCTAACACTACATAAAAAATGCAACAAGTACTAACACAATAGTTCCCAACAGAAGAATACGACAACTCCCAATACTGCACAAAAAATGCAACAAGAATGAATGCCCTCCCAACTAAACACAAGACAAGAACACCCAATACAAATACAACTCAAGCTAACACCCAAACGGGAATGCCCAAGACAAGTCACGAGAACTATAGCCCAAAACACGATGGTACCAACAACTCTCCTAATGGGCTAACTAGAGCCAGACCGCTAATCCAACAACCGCCCTCGGAAATCCTCATCCTGCCTAGGGTCGGTACACTCTACAGTTTCTCCATGCCTCCCCTGCAAACAATGGAACCACCACGCAGGCGTCGCCGGAGGACTAACTTTCCCAACACCAGGGAAGGTTCAAGAGGGGGGAGACCAAGGCTATAGACCGCTACCACGGACCTCCATAAAGACGCCCGCGGCTTCTGCCGAAGCCCACTCACCGGCGAAACCCTTCTCTTCTCGCACTCCATGGCACTCGTGATGAGAGACGAACACTTTGGGGAGGAATAACTGAGAGAACGCCATAGTCGCGCACCGTAACCTTTACATTTACCTTTTCCATGATATGCCACATGCACAAATGATGTCTTACCTGTTTGAATGTCGCCCGAACTGCATTCT